ACGAGAAAGCCTTCCAGGAACTGAAAAAATATCTAAGCTCTGCTCGGCTACTAGTAAAACCTATAGATGGAGAACCACTTATTCTCTACCTCTTGGTATACATAAATACGGTAAGTGTTGTTCTGGTCAACGATCTTAACAGGGACCAACATCCTATCTACTATGTAAGTAAAAGTCTCCTGGATCCCGAAACCAAGTACTCTCAACTTGAAACGTTAATTCTTGCCTTAGTGACTGCTTCTACCAAATTAAGACACTACTTCGAAACACACTCTATACATGTGAAAACTAACTATCCTATCAAGAATGTAATGAGATACGAACCAAGATCCGCCATAAAATCACAAGCACTAGCAGATTTTGTGGTTGACTTTAGTGATGATCTACAAAACAAAGTAGACATGGAAGCCAAGCGACTCCTAGAAGACGAACACCTGGGAAGATGGACGTTGTTCATAGATGGAGCTTCAAATCAGAAAGGAACATGCCTAGGGATCATACTAAAGTTGCCACAGGGAGACATCATACCCCAGGAAGTTAGTTGTGAATTCAACACTACCAACAATGAAGCAGAATATGAAGCACTCATCATGGGACTACAATTAGCTAAGGATCTTAAAATCAAGGATCTTCAAGTATTTGTTGATTCATTATCACTAACCAGTCACTACAATGGATCTTATGCAGTGAAAGGTGAGAAATTAACATTATACCTAGAGATCTTCAAAAAATTAGCTTCTGATTTCGAAAACTAATTATATTTATATATATATATATATATATATATATATATATATATATATATATATAGGAGTAAATGAGAACATTATTAAAACCACTGTTGTGCACGATTTAAACAAATAAAAATATCAATTAAACTACTCTATTGCACTAACATGTAGTACAAGTAAGCAGGGTCAAATCCTTAGGGACACATCCCAAAGTTTACACCTCTTTGCGTAAGGCGTGAACTAACTCTTGATGAATGCAATAAACATAAAAATAGGGGGTTTATTTATGAAAATTTGTATAATAAAAATAAAAAATGTCAAAAGAATAACTAAATTTAAAGTGATGAAAATTCAAATAAGAGAAAGTAATTCTAGTTTCACGGTGACTCCCTAATCATATAATTAACCTTCAACGCAATATTTGATTGTGTACTTGTTCAAATTGGTATTGAAGTTCATTAACAAGCTCTAATGACCTCTATTACAAAAATTATTTAATCAAAATAAGTTCTTTGAATTAAAGCTAACTTTTTACCCAATTAACCAAACAAGCTCTTGATTAACAAATAAAAGTTGCATTAAACACATTGTAATTTCTCAGTACAATTCCGGATCTAAACAATTAGATGACTAGAATGATTCACAAACAATTTAAGTGGCCAACATAAATTGAAATCAAAACCAAACACTCAATTAAACACAAAATTGATCAAACTAAACAGTAATCACAGTCATACATAGTGCCTAATGATTAATCATACGAAAATGTTATGTCTTGCGAAACTGAAATCTGAGATTTTAGCCTGACATGGCTAAAAATGGATTACAACACAGTAGAAAATAGAGTCTAATGATAAATCTTACTAAACAATGAAAAGAAATTGAATCGTCTCCTTTAGATCTGCATTCTTCACTTGAAACCCTCTAAAAATCGCCTTAGAATCACCAATTAGGGTTACTGGATGAGTATGGGGCTCTAGTTATATGTCTAGCTGTAAAAACGTTGTACCTATGATCGAAAAGGGACAACCTACGATCGCATGTATCACCAAAAACGTACCACATGCCTTTTAAATGAAGTACATTACCATTGCGAAGCATTTTGGCCAACCTGCGATCTCAAGGGCCAACCTGCGATTGCATGTATATCTTTTTTCCAAGTCTGATGAATATTTTGCACGAAAAAACTACGAAGTGAAGCTGCAACCCAACCTGCGATCGCAAAGGCATACCTGCGATCGCATAGGGGCAACATGCGATCGCATGTTGTCATTTTCGTGTGTTTTGATCGTCGTTCCTCCTTCTAAGCAATTCTTGATCATTTCTCAGCATCCTTCCTCGGTCTAAACTCCAGTTAAGCTCCAAAGCATCCATTAACGCATCCCAAACTTGCGCAATCCTCCATGTGCTCCAAATTACCCTGAAAAATCATAACAAAAGTGAGCACTACGGGCAGTCTACAAAATCATCACGAAACACGAAATAAATGAGAATAATCGGGAGTTAGTTAGCTTTTTATAACGCAATAACAAGGAAATTGTGCTAAAAGATTCATATAAAATGCATCTAACAAACACCTAAAAGGTTGAGAACCCGAGAACATATAATATGGTTTGTTTTGTTTGTGTCGTGAAACGACTGTTGATGATAGTTTTGGTTATCTTGATGCATCCACCAATGAATGCGTTACTTCATTGTCTTTAAAGGTATATATGCAATCTAGAATCTAAAATATATAATTATATGTTGATTGCTTCTTGTAATAGTTTATAGTTTTTTCAAGTTAAAAGTATGTTGTTATTTTTAATTATTTATATATATTTTTTTTCAAGTTGAAAGCATGTTGCTCTTAATTCCATGATATGGCTTGATGTTTAATTAGGTGTAAACTTAATTATTGCTGCTTTGTAGGTTGCTATTCATCGTATGCGTAAGTAGATAAAGGAAGAGAATAAGGCAGAATGTGAACAAGTTTTGGCCAAAAACAAGAAATTGCCAAGATTTATAACGGCATTAGTTCTATAACTCCCCCAATGAAGTAACCTGCCCACCTAGTTAGACTTTGACTCTTGATTTTTATGATTTTGTTTCAACATTTTGAAATCGATTTAATCTTTGACACTTGATTTTTTTTATTTGGTTTCGATATTATGAAATTGAATATGAGTATATATTTTGTTTTTCGAATATTAATATTTAATTTAATGCTTGCAATATAGTTTTAGTTTTAGTATTAAAATTTCTATGAATTTTGGTTATTAAATTAATACGTGAGAACAAATGATACAAATATCATCACAATTAGCAATGGAATTTTTAGCTAAATGAATGTCATCATCCACGTATTAGTGATGGAAATTAGCGATGAATTAGCAACGGAAGTTACCAGCCATTTTATCAATTTGCGACAAGTGAATCCCTCGCTAAATCCATCACTATTCTGTTGCTGCCATTTAGCGAGCAAGGTTTTTTTGTCGGGCATATTCCGTCGCGTGCGTGAATGAAACGAAAGGGTTTGCTCTCCTAATTTTGGGCATAGAAAGGTATGGGAACGACAAGTCGTCCCTATAGTTATCCACAAAACAACGTCCGAACTTTATTTCCATGAAGTGATTAAAAAAATATGTTATTTTTAATTTTCGTTATTTGTTAGAGCGATAAGTCGTCGCCACATGTGTTTCAAGAACGCGCCAAATCCACTTCCTTTCCCACTTAACATGTTGAGACGAGAGGTCGTCGCTGTAGCTTCAAAAGTCAAAAAAAAAAATCGTCAACTCTATGACGACGACATATCGTCCCTATAGGTAGCCAATAGTGACCACAAATGCAGTCCCTATAGATCTGGTCCCTATAGATGCTAATTCTTGTATTAATCACACTTTCATCATATTTTGTCCTTGATTAAACTTAATCTTTAATCTTTTGTCAAATAACACTTGGTATTTTATTGGGAGTATTAACTTGACTGGCCAAGAAACCAAAGGTGTATGTGTCGGAAGAGCTGCTGTTGGATCCAGTTTTGGTCATGTTTTCTCCATTGAAAATTCAGAAATTTAGCAATTTGTAATGGAGTTCTTTTTGCACGTTATGAACAATTCAATTTTCTTATGCTCATATGCCATTCAAGTGTTTTGACTCATAACCCTTTTGTAAAGTTCAAGGGTTAAGAACGATGGTGAAAAGTGTTTCTTAGGATTAATCCCATTCTGAAGTTAAACTCCTACGACTTCTTGCATTTATGTAAAAGATGTACAAAAATGTTATTATTGGATTAATCATTAAAAAGATACAAACAATTTTCACCAGCATGACTTCTCAACCCTTATTTTTGGTTGTGTGACTTATAATATTTTACAATCTATCACAGATTTATCTTTCTTATCTAAAGTTTACATCACATTGATTTTCATTAGTAATTGTGTGCTGTTTTGTGGCTCTTGAAGATGCGATCGCTTCAGATTCATTAAATATTAGGCATTGGATAGAAATCATAGAACCATGTCGGATAGCCATTTAAGTAATTGCGGAAGTTCTTTTCAAGAAATGTTGGTGAGTTCCTCATTTCGTCTTGTTTGTACAGTTCTGAATTTAGATACTTCTCTATTGTAGATTAATAATATATTTTGGTAAAAATGTGAGTAAATACAATAAAATATATTGACTTGTTGCAAGTTTGTCATCTCTTTGATGAAAAAGTTAAGAACTCCATTTTGGTATGTGTGTATATGCTGCTGTTTGTATCTCTTGTTTTGTGTAACTACTAAAGAGTATTTTAATTCGCATAAGCAATTCTATGATTCTCATATTGACTTACGTCCCGCACCATTTGTATTACAATCCTGGTAATTAATCCAACACCCAAAGTTACTAATTATGAACAATGAAAAACCGACCCCAGACTTTTTTACTAGTTTCTATAATTTCTCTTAATTTGGGTACTCTTTATGGGTAACATATTTAATATGAGCATCTCTAAATTGGTTAGATAGTTAGACATAATCACAATGATCAAGATATTCAATACGATGAAACAAAGATTGTGTCAACACAAAACAAATTCAATCAACAAATTAACATCATATTTTAAACAACTACGAGCGACATATTGAACCAGCAACCTTAACAACTAAATAAATAAATAAATAACTGAACGCAGTACGTACTATCATTACTTCCGTTCATGCTATGTCAATGAACTGGTATTAAAATCTTATTGTTCAAAAAAAAAAACTACTTAAAGATTCAGTTGAAAACTGCGCATGTCAAAGCTCAAACACCACATCCAAGCTCCACATCCCCCACGAGCTCCTCTGACGCCGGTGGAACAAAATATTCGCTTTTCTCAGATGGCCTGAACAATAAAAACGTTACCATGTACAACACAAGACTCGCTATTTCCTTTGCATTGCCCAATCATGCCCTCGATTCCACAAACATAATCAACGCACGAGCATAAAATAAACACAAATCCAATCAGTATGATGAAAAGTGCCTCATCAGTCTCTGAAGTCCAGTAAACGGCAAATCCAATCAGTATGATGAAAAGTGCTTTACAAATGCTGTCTGCAAAAAGCGATCCAATGTCCCACAGCAAAGATTCTTCAAGTAAAACCTCACGTGCCACTTTAGAATGCGAGTGTGTAGGAATTTGGATATGTCACAGCGTACGATTTGTTGAAAGAAGACTGAGAAGGAGGCGAGATATCTTGGAAAGTAAATAGGAGTGAGATGTATTTAGAATCGAGGTAACACGAATGTTCGTCAATCATATAGTGGAATGCATAGTCGGAGACAAGGAAGAAACCAATACGTGAAAGATCAGGTCGTGATAAGTTGGAGGTGACAGGCATAGAGGAGACAGAGACGGAGGAGATGGAAACGGAGAGTTGACCGGTGTTTGTGAACTCGAACTTGTGGAAGTTGATCAGACTTCGGTCATCAGAACGGATCTTCACAGATTTGATATCCGCACAGGATGGTGTAGTGAAGATGAAGAACAGGAGGAAAACAATAGAGAGACTTTTCTGTAAATTCTTCATTCTCGATTTGCAACTGGTGAGTGCTGATGGCTATGTTGGATTTTATTGTGTGTGTGGTTTGTGTCGAGTAGAGAAAGAAGAAGTAACAAGTTTGCTTCAAATAACTTGATACTAAAACCTAATTTGCAATTACAGCTATTTATAGAAAAAAAAACAAATTACTTGGGCCTAACGGAAATTCTAAAAATATGTTCGACTTAGATTCTACTTGCCATATTTAATAAATATCCTTTTACTTAATATATACATATCTCTGGTTTATTAGCTACATGAAGAGAATAACTAATTAAGGCAGGTAATTGTAGGTGGTCTATAACTCTTTATAAACAAACTTCCGAAAGATATGGAAGGATGTAGAAGGAATAGATTATGGCCGGGTTCAAATATAAACTACTTGAAAATGAAAATTATAGTTAAGTAATATTTGCATACATAATATGGAAGGTTCGACCGTATTGTAACTGGGTGCATAGAATGATTATATTTGCATACATAATATGGAAAGTTCGATCATATTATATCTAGATCTATTGTTATAATTGGGGTATAGAAATATGGAAATTCTGAGAAATGTGGCTTTCACTTTCAGAAATTAAAGTATTTGGGTGGTACTCCCAATCTTTAATCGGATAAGACTTACAATTGAGAGAAAACAGAAGAGAGAATGTTTTGATGTTATGAAGAAGAAGTGTACCAACCACAGATTCGGATATGATCATATAACAGAAAAACTTTCTTTCTTAAAACTGCCACATGACAGTTTTATGTCTTAAAACTGTCCACAAACGGTCATAAACAACCTTAAATCCGGGTCTACAATATGGATCACAAAACTGGGTACATTTATCAAAAATCCGGATTTCTGATGCCATTTTAATATAGTAACGTAACAGCTCGATCCCAGCTAGGGGCTCTGCCCCGTGGACCTCGACAGGGGCTGCCGCCCCTTGGACTCTGCTCCCAGGGGCGCTGCCCCCGGATCCCAGTCGGTTTAGGGGCTTCGCCCCTAAATAGCAGTATACTTTCAACAAAGACAAAATTAAACAAATGTGCACTCCACACCATACCGATTTGTTCAATAATTATCGAAGTGACATTGATCAACAAATTAACCCCATTACACTTAAATAAACATTAGTGATATAAAATCACCAACATCTATAAGATTACAGATATAATAGAGTACACCTTTTTATTTCGACTATATTTCAAACATATGATACTGTTTCTTGATGGTTTAACCTAAATATAACCCCAAACAATCCTTATTACATTCTCACATCAATTTATACTCTATAACCATTGATAATCTCATATTATTCAGTTCTACAATCAATTTGTACTCTATAACCATTGATAATCTCATATTATTTAGTTCTATATTAAAGTGGATAGTATTATATCCTCAACCATACTCAATAAAAAAAGCTTAACACTAAATGATGCAACTCAGATATTCTAGCTTTTGTGGTATAGCCAAACCTGAATATGACGTTCCGGACCTGAAATGAACTGCAACTTAACAAACGTACAACAGGGTTGGGCTCCAGGTAGAATGCTTCGATGATTAAGTTAGACATCGAACAAAGATGAAACCATAATGAAACGGTGAATGTATTAGCTGAGATTCTCTTCTGGCTTTTGTTTGAAGTCACCAAACTCCCAAAGCAGGAGTGTTTGGGTGGAATGCTCGAGATCAACTTTTGTGGAGTAAAGTTCTTTAAGCCTATCCCAAATTTCTTTCGCACTGTCACAAGAACTCACCAAGCGGAATGTATTAGACTGTAGAGCAAACCTTATAACTCTCATTGCTTTAATATTGCTGATAAGTTTGTCTTTCTCATCCTTAGGATCTTCCTTCATATCAATGAGAAACTGGTTGTATTCCTTCTGAGTTTTAATGACTCTTTTGGTCTCAGAGTGAACAAAAGGACCCAAAGTAATTGCTTCCCATATCAAATACCCATTGTCTTCTAAGCCAAGAACATAGTCTTCAAAATGAAGAGCCCATACTTCATACTCGTGAGGATATGGAATCGGAATTCTTGTGGTTGAACCTTCGATGTTTGATATGTTGATTGGATTGGATGAGAAATCATCGTACGACATGTTGATTTGTTTTTCTGTACCTGTTAAGAATCAAACTTATAGGATAGTATTAGGGTAATATCAAGATCACAGAGTAGCGTCAACAAAGCAATGACGGCTCCAATAGATTCGATAATAGATGAAACCCTAATGATTTATTGAAACATAAGAGATGCGTATGATTTACATAGCCTCCTACTTTGATACCCATTGTTAAAAATAAAATCCTCTTAGATCAATTAGATTCTAACAAGTAAAGTATTAGCATGATATAAAAACAAGAACACGGGATGGATCAATAGGTGTCGAATGATTAAAAACCACAACCTCAGAAGAACTCTATAAAGAATTGCTACTGTAGAGGCATGATAAGGTTACAGAGAAAAGATCAATCCAACGTTAACAACTACGATTGCATGCATACACTATTTATACTATAACCCTAATAATAAATACGGTTGGACAAACCCAAATCGTGTACATATTGGATTAAGTAAACAGCCCAATGACGCAATCTATTTTTTAGTACACCATGCATATGAAAACAAGGAGTATCGGAGTGGGAATTGTGCCACCTATGGCAATTACAATGGTAGCTACACCAATGACCCAAATTGATACATTCACACTAGTGCCACTAACCATATCACAAGTGAGCTAGACCAGCTATCCATACCCAAAAAAATATAATGACAAAGATGAAGTTCTAATAGCTAATGGTACAGGTTTGCATATCTCTCATGTTGGTAAATCTAAAATTCACAATCTAGGATGACCTGCTGTTCTTAAAAATTCCCTATACATCACACATAATATCAGAAGTCTCCTTTCTAAACATAAACTTGTTAATGATAATCACGTGTTTATTGAACTTTTTCCTAATGTTTTCTTTGTTAAGGACATAATCACGAAGAAAACCCTTCTAATCGGTAAAAGCAAAAGAGGCTTCTTCCCGATGCAAACACCATCATATTATTAAAGCTAGCTTGGCTCTATTAGGTCACTCTTCACTCCTAGTTTGATATTGGGATGAATCCTTATTGACAACATGTTATTTAATAAATTGCATGCCAAGCCGAACCATTAAAAATTCCACACATTTTACACGCCTCCTCAATATTATTCCTGATTATCCCTTACGTAATTTTGGATGTGCTTGTTGGCCAAGCCTCCGAAAATATAATGCTCATAAACTTTCCTTTTGGTCCACTTTATGTGTTTTTAAGGGTACAACTCAATGCATAAAGGGTACACGTGTCTAGACAAAGAAACTGGTCATATTTATATTTCCAGGGATGTAGTCTTTGATGATTCTTGCTTTCTGTTTACCACACCGACCATCTCGTCTACACCTCCATCTATAACTCATGGTGTCTTGTACCTTCAATATGAACGTACCATTGTAAATGACCATATGAATATATATTTCTTGTCTTTATTAATTGCTAATTCTTCTCATACAGCTACAACTCCAGCAGGACATACTTCCAGCTCTTCCACATGTACTGCTAATGTCATTCCCATTTCGTGGATCTCCCCCCTAACACTTTCACCGATAACGAGCTCCTCGCCACCATCAAACACTTCTACTGCTCCATCCAGTAGCTTTGGTCCAACAAATACCGTCGATCCCCTCGAACTTCCGATGTCTTCTTCTCTGACACCAGCCCTAATCAACCAGTCCTTGCCACCACCGATGGTTGTAGGTTGAGAAAAAATAGGAAAGGTTTGTCCAAAACATTTTACTAATGGTAATATCCTTTATGATCCAAACCGGAGCGCCTTTCTTGCTGCACCAACTTCTCACAAAACAACACTATCCACACCTAAGTGGCGACATACCATTGAGGCAGAATTTGAGGCGCTTCAAGAAATTCACACATGGGACTTGGTTCCTACACCTCTTTGTGTCAACATAGTTGGATTGTGAATGGATGTTCAAAACTAAACAAAATCTCTTCGGCTCTCTTGATAAACAAAAAGCATGCGTGGATGATCGGAGGTTCACTTAATAGTACCGTAGTGACTATTACGACAGTTTCAATCTGTTTATGAAAACGACCACTTTTCGGTTGGTTCTAGCTCTTGGTGTTTCCAAAGGTTGGAACCTTCTTCAAGTTGATGTTAATAATGCATTCCTCCATGGCCTATTAAATGAATATTGTGACATCCCCAAAATCACGGCCAGAAAAGACCGGTTTTGTTTATACTTTATTTCAAAATTAGAGTAATCTTTTAATAAAAGAGTTGCGGAATTTGTCCCAAAACAATATTATGATAAAGATTTATCAAAAGCATTTTCGTAGAAATATATTTCATTAAAAAGACTCGGAATGTCATGTTCGATACAGTACATAAGTATAAACAATACAACATAGGCCTTACTACATTATTCCGTATTTACAGGCCTAAAATCCATTAATCTCTCATCCCAAGACATCACATCTATGCTCATGCGCCACTACCTGTAATACAAGAAACTGAGTGGGTCAGGCTTGGGAGTCTGGTGAGCACATAAGGTTTTCAACCCACAATAAATAAGTTTATTAACTTTATTAAATTAAACAACCCGATTACCCGTTCCTGTTATCCTCACATTACGTCCCTAAGCATCTATCATAAGGGACCTACCCTAAGGATTATAATCGGGACGGACACTACTGGTAAGGGGATTCCTCAGCAATAAATGTCCTTAAGGCAACCATGTGGGGGATGGAGTACATCTGGTGAGCACATAGTTCAAATAAACACACTATTCGAATAAACACCTACAGGTTGCGAGCCTGCTAGTGTTCCATTGGACTGTCTAGAATAGTCTGTGGTCGTCATCTATACTCCGCTAGATGATTGGATCATCATTAACATCTATAACGAGGCCTCTCATTATTTTATTTTGTCACACAACAACTATT